GAGGAATATGCGCAAGAAATGAACTCGCAGAAAAAGTACCACGGACACACAGTAATTCATCTTTGTTAATTGACATTGTGTGTGTGTGTGTGTGTGTGTGTGTGTGTGTGTGTGTGTGTGTGTGTTTGCGTGTAAACCATGCAAAAGTATGAGACAGGAAAGGTGGACTAATAAAGAAAGTGAGAAAAATGTTTGAAGACATATGCGTGGAGGTGAATAACTGGCAAGATAGCAACACATAAAATCCAGTATAGACGAACACACACAAACAACAATGGGGGGAGGAGAGTGACATTCTAGTTAAGCCTGCCTTCATGGATCACTCTCACTTCTCACATAAAGAGGGATGACTCTATTGGGTGCCCGAGAAGAAGAGCAAGGTGAAAAACGAAGGACGGGCTGCTGCTGTTTTAGGGGGGGAAAAGTGAAGTGAAGTTTGAAGAGAGCAGCACAGTGAGAGGAGAGGGTTTGTGGAGCATGAGAGGGAGGGAGAGAGAGCGAGAGTGACAGTGAGAGAGAGCGAGAGAGAGAGGGGAAGGGGGAGAAAGACAAGAAGAGAGGCTCAGTGAGACAGACAGATGGAGGAGAAGCATGTAGCAGCAGAGAGGGGAGGAGGAGGAGAAACAAAGCGTGTTGACTGAGGAAGTGTGCGGGCCATGTGCTCAGGTAGGTCCTATCTATATCTACTACTTCCAACGGAGGTCCTCCATTCTCACGTTTACAACCTCTTTTTTTCTCTCTCTGCTTCTGTCTCTTTCTACAAAAATGAGTAATAACACAAGGTAGGATGGCTTTCTTCTTGCTATTCAGAGGCACAGGGCTCAAAAGAATTTTGTGTGTTTTCACTTCTTTTTCTGCCTTTATGAATCCCATGCAGTGCCGCTTTTTTTCTTCTTTTTTTAATGTGATGATGCCATTGTGAGTGCAAGTTTTTCCTTTGGTTCAGTGTTGCATGCTGTGATTTGCAAAAAGAATTGCTCGTGTTGGACTGATACCACAGATGCAGTGCAAATTGGGAGATTTTATTCAGATCTGGCTGTATCATAGTGTGTGTGTGTGCGAGTGCGCGTGTGTGTGTGTGTGCATGTTGAGCTGTGTGATGGTCTACAATACTGGTAGGATATTGGCAGGAGTGAGGAATGTGTGAGACTTCTCCCCAGATCTCTTTGTTCCTTCTCTTTCTCTCTCATTTTCTTTCTCCTTTTTTTCCTCTGGGGTTGCACACACACACACACACACACACAACACACTCTTACACAAACCAACTCTTGCAGAAAACCAGTTGAAACTTCCCACCGGCAGGAGAGAAATGCCTGGAATGTGATTATCACGTATTTGTGTTTATTTTATCACTGCGGGTCGCTTGCAAAGCAAAAGAGGAAACCAGATCAGGCGCATGCCCAGCACTGTGTGTGTGTGTGCGTGCGTGTGTTTATGTGTGTAAAATACATGCGTGTGCTCAGTGGTGGTGATGGTGGTGGGTGGGTGGGTGTAGAGGGGATAGAGTGGGAGGGTAAAGAGTGAGCTATTTGGCAGTGCACGTGAGTGTGTGGGTGGTGTGTGGGTGTCAGGGTGAGTGGGTGCAGAGCTCTCTTTGAGTGAGAGCACATGTGACTCGAAGTGTGTGTGGGTGTTGAGTGTGTGTGTGTAGAAAGATGAAAAGTGCTGCGTGCGCGGGCGCGTGTGTGTGCAAAAGGTGAGGTGATTGTGTGTTTCCGAGTCACCTTCGCAGAAAGAGGTGGAGGAAAGAAAAGGGGAAAGAAAAAAAAACTTTCCTTTCTTTATGTTGTATGCTCATTTACACACATGCACACACACACACACAGTTCAGGCGCCTGTCAAACCCAATGCATTCCAGAGCGCTCGAACACACAGAGTCTGAATGGTGGGATGAATGCGGGGAAATTCAGCTGAAACGTGAGGACAAAAGCCAGGGGGACATTTAAGAGGGTTTAACTCGGCAGAACCCTGGGAATCAGGGAGGAAACACACACACGCACGCACACACTGTAAGCATGCACACTTACATTATTGCATGCCTATGCACACTGAAATGTGAATAACTGCACTCTAAAATGTGTATACATCCTGACACACACACACACACATACACATATGTACAGCTGCGGCTCCAACAAACTGTTAGAGTCTGGAACAGAGGGGAATTCCCAGGGAGGAGACGGTGAAAACACACCTCTGCCTTCATATACACAATGAACCTGGGAGCCAAAATACCAGTGCTGAAACACACTGGTGGAGGTACTGGAGCTGCGGTATGCCAGTCACTTCAATGGTAACGCTGCATTGAATTCTTTTAAAAACCGCCGATAGCTCAAAGGGAGTTCTGCGAGTGACAAATTCTTCAAGTATGACAAAGCAACACCGCTTCTTTGAAGGCTTCATGTGTAAAACATCAACCCGGGACTAAACTGTTGAATGGGCTCATAAAACACCAATTGGCCGAGTCTTGAGAATGGATTAGCGTTATAGCAATCGAGATAAGGCATTTTAACTCTGACGTGCCACTTTGTGAAGGACAATAGCGACGGAAAGAATGCAGAGATTTCCGCCAAAATGCCAACACTTTATGACATTTCCAGCAATTATATCAATTAGAAGTTTTAGGGGTGTTTTTTTTGCAGTTTCTTGAGTCTCCAGAGACACTGCGGTTTCAACTTGTTCTGTTGACATCATGAAGTAAAGATTATCAAAGTCTGCGACACATAAACATGCCTTGCGAAAGTGTTTATCTGCGACTTCAAAGTCGGCTCGGTATCTCCCAAGTTGAGATTTCATCAGGTGTTTGCTGTTCAGGTTTGGGCAGACAGAAAAAAGGGGACTGGAGTTCAATGAACATTACAGGTCAACCCCCTCCTTTCCCCGCACCTCCTGCCTCTGATGTGCACTATAGACGTTATATGACGTGTGTCGGGGAGGAGGAAAGGGAAGGGCGAGGTGACGGGGTCGCATTTGTACAGAACTGGAATCAATATTGCTCACTCCGAGTCAGATCAGTATACACGCAGAATCGAAAGCCCGGGTCCTCTTGCTGAGAAACATGAAGGGGGAAAGTGTGGGATTATCCCCAGTCGCTGCAGTCTTTGCACACCCTGCAATAGCAGTTTGAGGTCACTGCAAAATGCACCTTTATTTAACTGTTTACCATTAATTTACTGAATCTGTTCTGTGAGCAAAACCAATTCAAATTCCTCAGATTTCATGCTTATCTAGCCTAACTGTGACTGCCAAACATTCCCTAGTGAATCGGATTGTGAAATGATAAAATTTAAAATCGTCAAGTCAATTTTTACCCGCCTTGTTAGTTTGCTAAATAATCGTTTCAGTCAGTTAATCACAAGTCTTAACAGTGCAGAGCTCATCAAAAGCTCCGTCAGGTATGAAAAAGCTGCCTCTTTGCCTCCGTCAATCGGGTGAAATCCTAGATGAAGTCCTCCTTAGCCGTGTGAGGTGACCTGCCAAGCGCCATAGGGTTAAATTAATTTGGTCACACGGCTTACAGAAAAAAACAACAGCCTGCAAACACAGAAATATTTCTGGGAAGTTTACATTGAAGAAATACCCATCCCAAATACCAGAAACTGAGGTCATAACTGCACTCATAACCAGATAAGAGAAAGAGTGGGCACAGTAATTTATTCAGGGAATTTTCACAATATGAACCCCTCGTCATCATACCGGCGGTGATATTGTCATTGTGGTTCAGAGACCTCATAGCTCCTCAAAAACCATGCGCCGGTGGACTGAAGAGAAACAAGCAGCAGAAACATTTGTTAATTTCCCAGATCGCTGTCACAAAAAAACAAAACAAAACAAAAGAAATCACTCTCACTCTCAAAGTGAGAGTGATGAGACAGCCTGCAAGAGCAAAACGGGGGGAGGGAGCAGGTGAGCAAGAACACATCATATCACATATTTCATAGGAAATTTATACAAATGCAGACGCATACATTAAACAGTGCAGGTACAATCCCACTGCAGGTGTATTTCCCCAGTGAAAGATACAGAGAGACAGCTCTCAGTCAACTTGTTATCTCTGAAATGTTTTCACGCTCTGACTGAGCGCTTGTGGGGAGCTGAGCTGCTAAATGAAACAGTCGCAGAACTGTAAGCATCCTTCAGCTCATTGGTAAAACTGTTAAATGTGACTGCTTGCTGTTCAGCCTGTCTTTTTTTTTTTTTTTTTTTTTGGAGTAGTTAAGAGTTTTAAAAAATTGAACAGGAGAGAGTTGATATTTAAAGGTTTTTTCTTTTTAAAAAGATGATGCTAAGCTGTGACATTTCTTAAAGTCATCATTAAATGTCTGTGCAGAGCTATTTGGACCTGGCACAATAACACAGGGGTTCCCACAAAAACATTAGCATTGCATGTATGCTTGTGCAGAGGAGTGAAATCTGTTTTAAGTGAAATTCACCTTGTGCGCTCAGCTTGCAAAGGACCTTTTTCTCCCTAGATGACCCCCCACCCGACTCTGGAAAGCCACTGCACACAGCAGGAGGAAAAATGTACTATCTACTCCTAAAGGAAATGTTTAGAGCTCCTAATTTATTACTGGAAAGCTGAGGTTTGTTTAGCATATTTTGCAGCACCTCGTCTTGTGATTTAGTTGCAGGGAAAACCGGAGGAATGTCCTCATCGCTTTGGAGCTTTTGATTTTTAAAAGAAATTCTTTACTATCTGCAGCTGAGTGGCGTTTACTGGTTTGTTGGAGTTTGAAATTAGGTGCTGAAATCACACAGAAATGTAGAAATTTTCTCTGCCTTCCCCTCTTCGTTTTTCACTTCTGTTCTCTGTGTGCAGGTGTTTTTCTCTCTCTTGGGTGTGTCACTGACAGTGGCATCACTATCCTGATATTAGTCTCCGCGGTCGAGCAGGGGACAGTCCCCGGAGCTCAAGGGGAGGGCGACGGGAGGAGGGGGGGATTTCTCGCGGGCTGAGGTCGATGCGGGGACCGAGCTGTGGCCGACTGATGTGACTGATTGTTGTTTTTTCGGGGGGTAGCCAGCCTCCAGTTCGAGGCAACAAGAACCAGTCAGTGGCATTTCCGAGCGATCCGCTGTAAAGGCCCGCAGGCAGGCGGGCAGGCACACAGATAAAACAGAGAGAGAAAGAGAGAGAGAGAAGGGACTCTCACGTCAGATGAGTAATAGAGCGGTGTATTACCACGGCACAAAATGCGAGAGACGTGATAAATCGATCCTCCTCCTTTCCTCCCGCATATATCTGCGGTTGTCTCCGCTTGTTCCACCAGCACTTTTTCTTTCTTTTCTTTCTTTTTATTGCGCTCAGCCCTCGGTGATGTGTTGTTTCAGCTTCTGCTTCTCGCGTGCTCTCGTACGCGCAACGGATAGATCTCGGAGCGCTGCGCTCGAGGAAGGTGTCTGCAAACTGGGCTCTTTTTTTTTTTCTTTTCTTCTTTTTTAGCTTCAGCTGATCTGCAACACAGACGAATACACACAGGTACCGCAGTTTGATGATAAGAATTTACAATTTCAGTTGTCATTATTGTTATTATTGTTATTATTATTAGTAGTAGTATTAATATTAGTATTGTTATTATCAGTGCCAAAAAACAGTAGTGAATAAGAAAATGAAGAGGGCTGTTTTATTCATAGACTTAAATATTTAAAAATGTGTGCTTTGACTTTGTCGGTGTGGTGTAGAAGTTCTATTAGGGCTGGCACTGTTTACATGCGGCGAGACTTGAACATGGCATTGCAACAGTGTGTGGTCTTCTCTGGCAGGGCCTCTTGTGCGAGCGCTATTACTTCACGCCCGCGTTTACGTGTTTGTGCGCGCGCGTGTGAGAGAGGGAGAAAGAAAAGAAAAGAGGAGGGGGGCGTGAGTTGAGGGCTGGAGGAAATTCTTGTGTGTTGGAATGCGTTTACCCCGGGGGAGACCCGTGACTTCGGGATAGACGAGGGGCGCAGAGAGAGAGAGAGAGATGCATGTGGCGTGAGGAGAGAGAGTGAGCGGTCTATTGTGAGTGCACTGGCTTTCTAAGAAATCTCTGAATGGTGTGTTTGATGTGTTTGTTAATGCGAATATCACAGTAATCGGGCGTGAAGGGACTTGAGTTTTTTTTTAAGTGAATTAGATTGTCTGTTCGAATTATTCACATTTTTCTCTTTGATTTTATTGTTCTTCCTTTAGAGGACTATAATTGAAACCATGCTCCGTTAGTTTTAGAAAGAGTGTTGCTGTATCCAACAGGGGGCACTTGTGACACGTGCAGTTGGATCTCTGTGGTTATTAATGTATTAACTCTGGCCGTTAATATCAATTTCAAATTTTGTATTTTCTTTAAAAGCTTAATATTGTTTTGCACGTTTAGTGTCTCGTTTTTCTTTTTCCAGACTTGACAATAAGCACGTTAAACAGAATTTCAGAGGAGTTTGCAGAATTAGAAGCTTTTTAAAAACAAACAAACAAACTTTTGATCAAAACTTGCTCCTCAGTCTACTCAGAGTCCATCAGATTTAGGACTTCGTGGGAGCTTTGCAGTAGTCTAAGTGATTTTCATTTTGCCATGAGGAGCGCAGTCATGCGCAACAGGTTGTCCCTGCCTCCTGATCCTCCATCAGCTGTATCTGTTGTTTAGTCAGTACAGAAAGTACAGAAAGTAGAGAACCAAAGTGCATAGACTGCCTCTGCAACCCTGCTCATATCAAACATAACATGCCACAAATGTGACTTCACCCTTAAGGGAAAATAAGCATTAGTGACAGTATTGGAGGAGACTGAGCTTTATCTGATTATACACAGTCGGAGTGTATAATCTGAAAGCTGACAGCATATGCCATGTACTGTACTTGAAACTTTGACAGAAGTTGGTGCATCGATTTACTTTTTTAATGGACAGACTGAGGTTAGGATCCCGGTTGGTATTGGACACAAATCAGTGTTTCTGGAACAGTGCTGGGGACTAGAGGGAGATGGACTGCTAAAAGCTCGCCCACACACAAATGTGAGATATTCTAATGAGCAATCTGGCCCTTTCTGAATATTATTCACAGTACAAGCATCCTACGATGTGTGACATTGTGCGAGTCTATCAATTTCGTAAAATATCTTCTTTTTTTCCTTCCTCAAAAATTTTCTGTTTGATAAAGGTGTCAGTGATAAGAATATTTGAAAAGGCTCCGTATGATGTGAGTGACATGCTCCTCTGCCACCCGTTTTTCACAGCTCGAGCTCTTCACGATGCACATCTGTGAAAAGGCGGCAAAGACCTGCAATCCATGGCTCCTGTCCTGCTGGTAAGAATCACACATTTTCTGTGATTTTTCACTGATGCAGAAATAGCTTGAATTCATTTCTCAAATGGAAAAGTTGAACCTGAGCGGCAGCAGACCAGGTTCCATTTGAAGTTAATGCACCTTGCACTGAACGCATCGTTGCGAGCTTTAGATCAAAATGTTGTATCAGTCTTTTCTCTTGAAATCTTACCTTTCACAATCCATCTACTATATCTAAGGAGACCTCATCACTCTCACAATCCAAATCCTCCCCTGTAGCTGCAATTTATAAATAACTACAACCTACTGAGCTCAGCTGTGTTAAAAGCTCTTTACGTACAGTAGGCAACAGTAGATGTCAACATTTTTTTTAAATGTAGTGTATTTGATATAAAACTGGCAAAAGATTCAAACACACACATGCAGCATGCACGGCCCACACACTCCCACGTGTTTCCCCTGCCTTTGCTCTCTTCAGATGTGAGGCACATGACATCATTAAAGAAGTGATCGAAAAATCACTGTAGGTACTGCATGTGGGTTTTGTGTGTGTGCATGTTTTTGTTTCTGTGTGGGTGATGGGGAATGAAAGCCAAAGCTCCAGAGCCGTGGGCCCATGGTGGCTATGTGTGTGTGTTTGTGTGCGTGTGTGCCCAGCCGGAGGCTCTGGTCCTGGGCTGCACTGCCTCCCACGCTGGGGTACGGCTGGGGCTGAGTGGGAGGGAAGAGTGGGAGGTAAGAGTGGGCTGGGGCTGTGAGTCAGCCTGCTGCTGAGCCCCTAGACACGAGAGCGCTGAGGGAAGAAGCACACGGGCAAGAGTCCTCTCCCTGCCAGCGTTTTGAAGAAACTGTTAAGTTTATTACGAGGAGTCTACAAGTCCCGGGAGAAGTAACTGCTGGGATTACACATAGGACAGAAGGCAGTGGTGGGAGAAGGCTCTGAAGGTATTGAGAAGATGGAGTAAATTACAATTTCAGTGGGGCTGACGGCTCCTCAAAACATGGTCAGGAGCTACAGGAGAAGGCAGGGGACACAAAGATGTTGCATGCATCTTTGTTGGTTCTTTATTTTACTGATGTGAATTTCTAATGTTAAACTTAGATCAAAAAGTGGCTCTGCAGACCACTTCTGTATTTTTAGACCTTTTAGACCTTCGTGTATTTCCACAGAACAGCTCTGAATACCACAGTCTCAGCCTGCTTATGCATTTTCTTGCACTTCTGAGACAGATGGCGGTATCAGGCCCAGCCCCATCTGCTGGAACCACTTGCTCTTTCTCACTCTGTCTGCTGAGAAAACAAAGCTCCATGCTGCATGTCCATTTAATCTTCAGTGAATGACACACTCCCATTCCACACTATGCATATGCATAGTCCATTAGTCAAAAGCAACAGGGACCGTTTGTCTCTGGTGCTTTTTGCCAGGTTAATAAACTTTCTAGTGTGAAGCTCACAGGAGTGTAGCCTGCATTGCAGATCACAAGTTATTTACTCACTGCAGGATCATTCATGAATGCTCTCCGTTCATCCTGCAAGTAGAGCTGCTGTTTAAAGGAAAATGCGAGATTTGATGTGTAAATCTTCTTCACGTGTACAGGAGCATGATTAGCCTGTAAATACTGTGGTAAAAAAATAGCTTAGAGGAGATTCTTCATGCTTTTTTAGGGGTTAAGTAGCCTAATACAGGTAGCTGAAAACTGCAGTCATCCTCAATATCTCTAAGAATGAGAATAAATATTGTATCTGGTGGAACAAATTCTTGTATAGGGTGGGAAATATTTCTAGATGTAGAGTAGTGTTTGGTATTCATGCTTCATCAGATACATAATTTTTTTTTTAAGTTTTAAAATCATGCTTTTGTGTCAATGAACTAATGACTCACTAAGGGGACTTGTTAGTTGTCTCTGAATTTTTCATTTTCTGTCATCTTTTTCCCTTCACCCCAAAACCCAGTCACAGCAGATGGCTGAGTGTCCCTCAGCCTAGCTGCGTCTCATCCTGTCAAAAGGCAGTTCTTCTGCCCTACTGTTGCCAAATGCATGCACATAGGGGATATTGTAGAGTCTTTACGGTACAGTGTGAAACACCTTGAGATGACTGTTGTTTTGCTATAAAAACAAAACTGAAATGAAATAGGTTTGTCATCCGACTATTCTGTAAATTGTCTTTCTAAATGTGAAACTTGCATCTCAATATTATGTTTATTAAGAAAAGCTGAAGCAAGTGTCATTGCTAGCTTCACATACTGACATACATACTTGACATCAGTAATTGATAAGATTAAAATCAAATTAACTCTAAATTGTTGTAGTTCCATTTTAGGAGATTTCATGACACCACTCTCAGGGCCACAATGTCCCAGTGAACTCAGCAGCGGTGTTTCTGGGCTGGGCCGGTTGTTCTGATAATAGAAGGTGGTTCTCCAGGAAGCCAAGAGGGAGTCCACCAGTCTGGGGTGTAGGACCAGTAAGTGGGCCAGCTATGGGATCAGCCCAGGGGTGTGGAGCAGCAGTCGATGAGGCGGTGGGAAGTGCTGGAGGGATGTGGACGGGTGAAAAAGGAAGGCAGGCGAGGAATGGGAGGGAAGGACACGGAAGTGAGAGCAGGAAACGCTGGTAGGAGCAGTGGGAGTGGGGAGTGGAATGTTTCACAAGAGCTTTATCTGCACTGTAGCGTCAAGATGTGGGCATCCGCTGTTGGTGTCACTGTTCAGACAGCCACCCGCCAAGCGAGGGAGCTCATGTGTGACATAGCCATCCTCTGACACATGCGCACATTCTCCACAGTGTGACCCCTCACCGCCTTGGCAGAGCTCACTGCTCTTATATCCTGGGAGTGGGCCAGCCTGCAGCACCGTCCCAGCCTTCGTATAGTCCACGCTGTGAGGTTGTGGAATAGAGAGAGAAAGTCTTGCAGTGTAAGTGAGGGAGTCAGTGCTATGCATTAGTGGGTTCTGTTAAAGGGACCACAATACTGGCGGCCATACATTCATGCATATGTAAGTAATGCATTTCTGCACTAATCAGATCATGCTGTCACGGGCACATTATGCATTTTACTACAAGAGCATGAAAACTGCAGTCAGTGCAACTGTTATTACTGCATTTAATCAAAGCAGAAATGCTCAGCCTTCATTCATCAGATTGTTTGTTTTCATATGAATTGACCTATTAACCACAATAATTTATACAAGAATAGGGACAAGCCTATAAGACAGGTAAATATTATTTAATTCTGTGCAATAGGCACAACTAGATTTTAGCTCCATGCACTTCCAAATGTTGTATTTGAAGGAGTGTGTATAATATTAAACGGAGGTGGAACCATCTCTGGTGGGCCTGTTATGGACTGCGGAGCTTAAAATGAGCATCTTTGACTTAATAAAACGTAACATTGCTGTTTTCTTTTTTGAGTTGTCTTAACTGTCAAAAATGAGCACTGAAATATTAATGGAGTACATTTATGTGAGCAGTGCATGTAAATAAACATAATTTAAATAGACTTTCTTTGTGGGGGGGGGGTTGTCAGGCTGAACTAATGTAAAATATGCAAAGTAAAATACAACGAGCTCAAAACTGATTTTGCTTTGGAAATAAAATGTTTAAAAAGTATCATCTAAAGTTTAAAAAAAATAAGCAAAAATGATGTTTTTAATACTATGTTACTAACACTATCGTTATGGCAGCTATTACTTTATATACCTCAACCTAATAATTATGCATTGTGTCACAATAGAAGCATGCGTGTATGATGCAATTACAGAGACTTGCAGTAGTAATGGAAATTTCAAGTATTGTCAAAATGTTTCACCTGAGCTCAGAGGTGCTCGTGTGACACTAGAGCTGCTGTGAAATCCCTGCGTGTCACTAACGCCCAAGGTTATCACAGGGTAATAAGTGCGCGCGCACACACACACAGACAGACAGACACATGCACACTTACACAAACAGACACGCGCGTCACTGCAGGGCAGTGGAGAGCAATGCAGAACAAGCACCGTGATGAGAGATAAGATGTAGAGTCATGCCTCTCCAACGTGACCGTGACATCACAGTTGTATCTGCGTGTTCGCCGTCTCCCCATGTTAGAAACCGACGGGCCTAATATAGTCAGTGCAGAACACACACACACAGCTACACTAGGCTGGCGGGGGAGGGAGTCTGATTGCCATATTTCCATCTCCTGTCCTTGGTTGGTTACAAGCGTGCGTTTCTTCAGAGGTGTGTCTTTGTGTGCCGGGTTAGTGAATGAGATGACGTCACTGTTACGTCTGTTCTTGTCTATCAGTGGCTGGGAGTTTCTGTCTTGGCACAGACAGGTGCATCTGTGACATAGTGTGTGAGCGTGTGCGTGTGTGAGAGAGTTTGTGCTTTTATAATTCAAACTTTCTCTGGCTATGTGGAATGCCACTTGAGAAAGAACTTTGAGTGCTCACAAGAATTTGGGGCATTGGAGACATTCTCTAAATGTTCTGACACGTCTGTGGAAATATCTAGCTGCACGTTCTATTTGTCTTGCTGACCTTTTCCCTACTTCTCTGAAACACAGTTTCTAGCTGTTTTGTTTTGGGGGTTTTTTGCTTTTATTTGCTGCTCACGTTTTCTTTTTAAGCGTTTTTTTAAATTAATTTTTTTTATGGACAGCCAATCTGTTTATTCACTTCAACCCAGCTGAAAGAAAATCTTCCACAAGTGAGCTTTTTTTTTAACTGTCATGTCTTAAAACTACTCTGAGCAGCACCGTGGAAACTTACTGTAGGTCTTCTCACTGCTGGTCTTTGTGTCTCCCCCACCCAACCTCTATCACTGCTATCTCTCTGACCCTGTTTACTTGGGTAGGATGAATAAAACGCCACTGCAGCTAAGACAAGGTGGATAAGAAAGTATTTAAAACCATTGAAAACACAAACACACACAGTTTGATTTTCTTGAAATAGGCAAAATTCTGTATGTTGCTTGTGCCATTATTCTCTGACTACTCTGTTTCACATCTGACTGCAGAAGAACAGCGTTACCTTTTTCATGTAAATCATTAAGCACCGGTATAGTTACTTGTAAAGACACAGCCCCGCGGACCCATTTTACCATTTCAATATTTTCTCTTGCATTCTCTCCACATTCTCGTCTCTCTCCTGCTGTTTGAATTCCTTCGCTCTATCTCTCCAGCTCTTCCTTATCTCTGTCTGTCTGTGTGTCACCACTAACTCTGGTCAGCCATTTAACTGCTTCTCAAGTCAACCCAGCAGAATTCCCAGGCTGCTCAGCCGCCTGAGTTCACACCTTTTTGTCCACAGGAATCTTAGGAATCCCCAGTTTCCTTTCCACTGAAATCTCCATTGTGTGTGTGTGTGTGTGTGTGTGTGGGTGTGTGGGTGTGTGGGTGTGGGTGGAGGGGTGGGGGGGTACGTGTGTGTCTGTAACTACATGAAGGAAAGACCCCCGCCTGTGCTGTGCATGTGTGTTGAAACACATCTCCGCCCTTGTATCCACCCAGAGAAAGCGAGCAGGCGGTGCTCACTTTGTGCCCACAATAGACTGAGTCACATTCTAAAATGGCAAACCTCTTAGTTACTGAGAAACTTTGCTCTTTAGGAGAAACCCTTTAATGTCAAACTGAGACTCACATCATGTGAATTTCATCAGCACACACGCTAATTAATTTGCTGTCTTTAACACGGGATTTAACCGCAAAACAGAACAGTTTTCTTCATATTTTCTGATTAGATCATTTAGAAGAAAATATGTTCAGTCTCATGTTTACCTGACTCCTTTTTGGTTTTGTGTTATTATAAATTGTTTTTAGGATCAATAATTGCAGATTCATCATTTGCTAAAGACAGACCGTTGCACTCTTTTCATTTTAACTATAAATTACCTACTTGTTAGGGAAAAAAGAAATCAATGACTCATTGTCGCTGGCTTGCAGAGCATCTGAATAACAAGATCAGGAATAATCTGTCAGATCGCTGCTTTTGGCAGGTAGTGCACATCATATCAAATGGTCGACCCGAAATAGCTCCACACAGGAATACACGAGAGAAAATTAACAAAGTTATTTCAAACAGAAAGAAACAAAAACAAACCAGGCAAGCGCACAGAGTCCCATTTAAATCCTCCCGGTGACTCGACCCGCGCACATTCATGCCGCAGTTTGTCGGCAGGTCTGGAGTCATTTAGCCGCTCTCACCCTGAGTCATCCCTGGCTTGAGTGCAGCCTGATGCCGAGGCTCAGCGGCACCCGTTGAACACAGCGAAGCGCGTACAGATACCCATTCACACACGGAGAGAGCTGTTATTCAGCCTTCACCCACTCACTCTCTCTGCGCGACAAGCAGAGCTATATGCGATGATGTCTTTGATGTTAGCTCATGAGGTCCAAAGACACTGGATGGAAATGTAGTTTGTAAACACTAGAATTATAAATTTAGACTAAAAACAAAAAATCTTATATAATATTTCTCATGAAGGCTTTATTTAGAAGCCCTTTAAAACTTTTTTTTTTATTTGACCAAATCTCAGTGTTTTAATGTTCTAAAAAAAATATACAACCAAATCTTTTAAGCACTAATGCTGACTTGCGTCAACAGTCCCTGGGCAGGTAGCATGAAATTATACAGTGTACATGTGTGTACAAGAGAACGCACCGAAACAACGAGACATACACAAACAATCCCTCATACTAGGTTCAATTGTGTCCCAAACAGGAGAGCCAACTGATGCTGTCGCAGCTCACAGGAAGCTGGGATCCCACTCACGTCATCACTGAGGTGAGAAACTTTCCTAAGCTTCTTTTATAATGTGATAGAGCTTTACCTCCTCAGGACAGTCAGGTCAGGTAATCAGTGGCGTTCTTGTACATACAAAAAAACAATAGGTTGCAAGTTGCCCTGAGATTGCACTTAAGGGCTTTAATACCAAAATGTGTGTATATAGGTCAATTATTACTTAACCCTACTTGTTATGTGACTCACAGAGGTTATTTAAATAGTTATGAATGAGATCTGACAAAAGCATTTATCCGGCTCCACTAAAACGTGTGTGCGTGTTTCCGTACCACAATATGTGTAACGGGAGCGTAGCATGGGTGCAGCATGGCCTTTGGTGAGTCACATGGCCTCCCGTGTGAGTAACAAACCAACTATGTGATCCCTTCAGTTCGAGACTCCCATTCAGCCCACTCTTACCCCATACACACGAGCAGGGAGGAGGAGGATGGAAGCTGAGGGTGGGGCAGGGTGGTGATGGTTCATAGGTGTGGTTGGCAGAAGTTGGGGTAAAATAGCAGGATGTAGGTGAGAAAGCAAGCTCCAAGGAGGGAGGTAGAAACCAAGGGGGGTTGACTGAGGTCGAGGGCAGCTTCAGGTCAAAAGTTTCAGATCAGGGGGACAAAAGGTGCCAAAGACTCCTGTAAATTAATATATCACAGTCTCCCCAGGAACTGTCATCATCCATTCCTGCCCCGTTTTCTTTTTCTTTCTTTTTTTAACCTGTGAACTTGGGTACTTTCTTCTTAGTAGCTGTGGTCAACATGTGGTTACTCGCTTGTTTATGAGTCCGTCCGGTTCTGTAAACTCTGGTACTTTCTCTTTGTGGTCTCAATCAGCAGCCCATTTGTTAGTTCCATCTTCAAATGTGGCGCATGAAGCAGTCGAGATACGATGCACATATATAGCATTTGTTTATGTGGGTGTATGTCCTTATGGGTGGAGAATGTAGGCTGGAAGTCACAAAGACTGTAGCTGTTGTTTTTGTTTGTGTTGCCTTATTTCATATTCATTTCAGAGTGGCTACGGCTCGGGAGGTAGTGCGGGAGGTTCGATCACCTGAATGGCCTCCAGTGTGAAAGTTAGACAGAGAGCACTTTGGCATTGTAAAAAGCGCTTGTATGAATGACTGACTGATACATGTAGTATAGTGCTCGAGTAACAAAGCACTATATGAGAAGCAGTCCTTCTTTTCCTTTTTTTTTTTAATAGAAGTCTCAACTCTCTAGCGGGGGAGTTTCCTGCTTTTGAAGACCCCACCACACACACACATACACAGAGAGAGAGCGAGGGAGAGAGACAGAGAGGCTACCCTTAAGTTTTTTTCCTCCTCCCTCTCCCCCTCCTTCTTCCCTCCTCTCTTTTTTTCTGAATGGATGTCCTCTCCCTAACCTCAATTGAGAGCTGTAACAGGACACTGCTTTAGGCTCAGCCCCCTCTATGTATAAGAGAGGGAGAAGCAGCAGTCCTGTGAGTGTGTGTGAGCGAGTATGTCCGACAGTGTCAGTCAAGGGGTTGAGGGAGAGAAGGGGAGGGTGAAGGGTAAGAGAAAAGGAAGGAGGTGAGAGAGACAGAGAGAGAGAGAGAGAGAGAGAGATAGACTGCTGTGAAACATGTGATAGTGCAACTTTGGCGGGGCTTAGAGGGAGTTTAACGGCTGTAGTGTCTCCAGAGCTCTGGGAAAGCACCTTTAGCCCAGAGGGAGCCTCACAAGCTGTCTGTGTGTGTGTGTGTGTGTGTGTCTTTTTGTGCGTACGTGAAAGTGTGTGCTTCTGTGTGTGAGTGAGAGAGCCGGTTTTTCAGTGCTGCTGCTGTCACTTTAAGCCTGTTACTGATTACACTCAGAAGAATGCAACGGGAGGAGGCTAAAAAGACAGGGAAACAGATGAGGAGACATGTAAGGATGAAATCTCTCAGAAGCTGAGCTATGGCGAGCTTTATGTCACTTGCCCTCACGGTCCTGGGCAGTGACGTGGGTGAGACACCGTTACCCAACATCGTCTCTCCCTCCCTCTCTCTCTCTTTCACTCTCTGTTGGACCAAGCAAAGTCAAAGTGAAAGGGAACCTGGAATCCCTCTTTGAAGCAGAGACAGAGCGAGAGGACGCCCAGAAACACTGGGAAAAACTTAAAGAAAAGACACCAGAGAGGAAGAAATTCGAGTGGAGGTTGAGGGAAGGGGTGTGCATATGTGGGGGGGTTCCCTCATTCCAAACTCAGCGCTGGGAGGAAACACTACTCTCACCCAGACGGGTAAGTGAAAAAAGAAAGAAAAAAGAAAAGAAAGGGAAAAGATTCCCAGAAAGTAGGGGAGCTGCTGCTGCTGCTGCTGTTGATGGATATCATATGTTACAAGTTAAGGTTGAGAAACTGCTCCCAGATCCTTAATAGGTGGAGAGGAAGAGCAGTCTGTAGGCTGTCGGCAAACTCTCACACAGCCTGAAGTAGTGAAGTTGTGCTCTGATTTTTCTTTCTGTTCAATTTTGTTTTGTTTTGAAGCTGGTGATTGGTCACCTTCAGCTTGTCTCGGATTGCTCTGAGTTTGAATGGTCACTAGCGTGAGCGTCCCCAGCGCTGCGATCGCGTTACAGAGGAGCTGATTCACTGTCACACAGCCGATTTGTTTGACTCTGCTCTGAGGCTGACTTACAGTCGCACAGCCAGGATTAGATGGGAGGCAAAATGTATGGTGTGTGCTATCATCAGTGCTGCGGTAATATACCAGACATAGTCTGTTGAAGGCAACGCTGATATGAAGTCTTGTGATTAAAATAGGTCTTTGTGGTCAATGGGCCATTTTTAAATACAGAAGCACCACTTCCTCTCTGTTTCAGTCACGCTGTGTGTTTGTGCCCCCCCCTCTTCAACTGACACAGATAGCACAGTCCTTTTGCTCTGCAGCAGAAGGCATGAATGAACTGAGCGTCTGGGGTGGGGTGGAGGTGGAAGCAGTGGCGTTGGTGGTGGAGCGGGAGGTGGGGTGTGGATAAAATATCATACAGCATGGACAGCGAGCATGTGGCTTCTTTATGAATGGACATGGCAGGCAGCTGACATGATTGGCTGCAAAGGAGTGACGTCTGATGACTGCAGAGCCGGCACTCTGGAGTCATTCTCCCCTTCGCTGTCGCCGCTGTCCCTCCTGGTTACCACCTCTTAAAGCGCTGCCGCCGCATGTGTGTATATGTGTTGGTCTGTGCAAGACACAGAGAGAGTGTTTTAAGGAGTCGTGTGAATCAGTGCTAGTGGTTGTGGGTGACATGTGTTTGCCTAAGCGGGCTTAGTCACAATCTGAACAGAGGGGTGTGTGTCTTGAAGCAGTGGGCTTTTTTTCTTCTTTTCTTCATCTTCTTTTTTTTTTAAAGAGTTGTGGCTCTCTGCCCAGCTGTTGTTCTTCAAATTGTCTCCCACTCTCTCTGACTAACATAATGCTCCTTCCAGCTATCATTACTCTTACTTGTCATGTAATAAGAGGGAAAGTTTCCAGCATTAACACGTAATAATGCTCCCTCATGACTCACTTTCGGGGACGAAGGTTTATTTTGTGACCGTCTACACTTTTAGATTTCCGCTTAAAGAATTTCAACAAAGAAGGAAGTCATGCTATCAATCTGTCGATCTCATCAAGATGATGAGATAATGTAAGAGGCCGTTCTCAGGAAACAAACAGGAAAATAATTTATCAGGGTGACCTCTGTGTGTGTGTGTGGACCATAACCACGTTACCATGCCGGTGCCTGCCAAAAGCCAACCCTACAGACGGACATGCACACCCTTTGTTTTACTGCGACACAATAATGGCCACTCCTTGAGCTTACTGCAGTTCCTACACTCCTCCTGTCCCCACTTTAGTTTATGGTTTATCAGGAGGTGTGATAGGGAGACGGCGAGAAAGAGAGTGAGGAGTGGTGATAAGGAATTGTCACGTTGGTGCGCGAGGATCTGTCGGCACTTATCGGGGCAGCGTTTCCGGCGCGAGTGCACGATAGAAAAGAGATTGGCGGCGAGATGCATCGCAGGTATCTTGATGAGGAAGATTAAATTCCCAAGCCCAGATTAACATGGAATCTGCCCTTTTGTCTTATCACCCTGCCTACACGGTGAACCCTGCTCTGTGCTACTTGACAATAAGCAGCTAACCATCTCAGGCCAACCACCTTTCTGCAGCTTCTATAGGAAAACGTAAATGACTTGGTTTTTGGATAATAAGAAGAGGAGAGCACTTTTTTTTTTGTCACGTATACAAATCCAGGGCATGTTGTAGCAGTTTCTTACATTTTATGATTATTATTATGATTATTTAGATGTTGATTAAGATAATTTTCCAGATGTCAAAGCAACATTGAGATTTGGTTACAAAAAAGGCGAGAAATCTACATCTGCATCATACATTTATTTGCTGACTGTATTACTGGCATGAGTAGAGATTTTAGGGGCTATTGGATTACAACCATTTAACAACCAAATAAAAGTGGCTTGAAAAAACAGCAAGGTGAGTCATCTACAAACCTTTCATTTTTTAGTCAAACTGAACCTAATTTTAACCTTGGCAGTGATGCAGCACTGTAAAGCTCAGTCAATCTAACTAAACTGAACTATTCAACAGAATGGTTAAACTTTCAATTTTTAAATAGATTTAAATCTTTTTAAAAGGCCATGACTGGCTGAGCAGATTTAACCCATAAAAAATGAATATATTGACATGTGTTACTTTTTTTGACATAATGTAGAGATGCAGAGCTAATACCAATTAGTTTATTTTTATATTACTTTTATTTGGTTATTAACTAGTGGAAATAAAATATATACAAATAAAGGTTTATGGTCAAAGATAAACATGCAGGAATTTTTTTAATACGAAATATTTATTCTTTGTGAGTTTTAAATGGAAGAATTCTTTTTTTAATGTACTGAAAAGGACCTCAAGCAGGCAGGTTAGGTTAATTAGAAAGGTGTCATCCTGACAAACTGCTGTGGAATGGTCACATATCCACACGGTAGTGATAAAAGCAGCTTTTCTGGATATAACGGCTACACTTAATATCAGGAACAATGTGCTCGTGACGTGGAGTGGAGGGGGCAAACGTGGACCGCATAATGACAGGTGGCAGATGGCTGGAGGAACTTAGGACTTAAGTCACCTGTGGCAGGCTTTACTTTGAACTGCATTCATAGCGGCTGGCGTCGGGAAGTGAGGCGTTGTGACATACCGTAGTTATTCCAACGCTGACAGGAGTTATGTAACTGAAACTGGGTTAAGCGGCGCAAGAACAATCTTAACTATGACTTGACTCATTTCTCCTTTTTCTTTTCCCTACTTTCCTTTTCGCATGACTTGTCTTTGTTTATACATCAACAGCTCACTTACACAAGTCTGTCATTCACAGGCAGATTGTAGTGTTAAGAGCTTAGCTAGATAACTTAGATGTCGCAGGGCTCAAAGCACTGTGTGTGCATGCACAACAGAAAAAGCCCGTTAGAGATTCTGTGTGTTTGCATACGTCTTGTGTGCATTTCTTTTGTGTGTGTGTGTGTGTGTGTGTGTGTGTGTGTGTGTGTGTGTGTGTGTGTGTGTGTGTGTGTGTTTTCAAGAACGTTCCAACGTGTACTAACCACACACACCTGGCCTGGTTCCTCCTTTGCACATATATGGGCAAAGCTTCCCCTACCTGGGCCTCACTGAATTCCAATAAGTTGCAATGTGAGTGTGCGTGCGTGCGTGTGCGAGAAAGAGGCTGTAGAGACGGATGCACGTCATGGAAAACCAGGATCAATGGGCAAGGCCCGCAGAGCTGCGTTTTTAAGGTGTTCCTTTTGTTTTCCAAAGGTAATCAGTTAGCACAATGACTCAGCTTGGCTGATTATTCAAAGTGGCTTCAGTAGGACGACGTCAAGAAGGAACTGTGGTCATGTTGCTATTAGACAAGCTGCATACAACACTCAAGAGAGCAGAATGAAATCCCTGTGTACTCTTGATTAAAAGAAGACACACAGTGGGCTCAACAGTTTTCCCAACAACAACATCCAGACTTTCTGATTATTTGCTAAAAATCAAACTTTCCACAACTGACTTATCTACTTTCAGTCTCTTTGGGCTATTTGTCAAGACGTGCGTTAGTATTCAGGGTGGAGGTAGTGAAGGTATCAGTAGCCGGGTTGTGCCTCTTGCAGACAGAGCTTACATTATTACATTATAGCCTCTGCTTTGCCTTATGTTGGCACTAATGAAGCAGATTTATGGCTATGTGTGCCAGGGTTCAGCGCTGGTCCTGTTTAAACCCTGTGACCCGACAAAGCAAAGTACCCTCACACTGATTTTGGACAATGGGACACCTTTCATCCATTCCATTCCTTCTCTATACTTTTTTCCTTTTCCCTTCCTTTCCTTTCGGCTCCCTTCTTTCTGTGCTCCCTGCACATTTGCCAAACCTTCATAAAGCAGCTCGAGGAGGTAGTTAGCTTTCCTTGGTCATCTCGCCAGGTCTTTCCCATCAGTCCAGCCCCCTCGAAGAGCTTGCAGACATCCCTCTCTGTAGGCCGGGGGGCTGAGCCTGGGTTTGGGGTACAAGCTGTATATTTGAGGCTGGGGCTCCCTCTGGAGAGGTTCTTTGGCTGTTCAGTCTAAAGGTCTGGATTCAGTGTGTAACTCGACCGACAGCCACCTAGCAGCACTCAAAGGAACCATTTGGGATAGCTTTACAAGTAAAGGCCTGTTTTATCTTTACAATTTATAATAAGGATAGAAAGTGAGAGGGAGGGAAAGGAAAGGGTGGCGGGGAAAGTGACTTTAGCAGCGTAGATACAGGATAGCAATATTCTGGAACAGGGAATGACTTTGGATGGCGAACAGAGGTAACAGCAAAGACAGAGCTTCCATAACCTCTGCCGCCACCGAATATGAGCTATTGGCTTCCTCTCTTTGGTTGGAAGCTCTCACTCCCCCATCATAACCAATTATACTGTCAGGCTGGGGTATATTGAAATCTGGGGAGCTGAGAACTAATATCTGATTGGCAGCAGGCCTCATGGAACGGCTGCTTAATTGGTGGCAAGCAGTTGGTGAGCACTGCATTTCAGGCTCGTCTCATCTTGTAGTCTAAGCATCTCTTTGTGTGAGTGAAAGCAAAGTGATTGGTGCAATGTTCACTTTGTTAACCCAGCGAAATTGCCGAGGCTGTATGGGAACAAGCTAAGTATGAACTTCTTCACACTCACCAGGTTGTCAGCAGTCTGTTTGGGGTAGAGTTACACTAAAGTTCGAATGATGGATTTTCACCTATTTTGGCATACGCAGATGGAATAATAACAGATGGAGTAGAGGGCTGAAATCCATGTAGGAGACTTTTGAAAAACAAAAACTTAACAAAAACTAGTTTCTGAAATCGTGTGCATTTGCTGTGCAACTAAAAGCAACCTAGAACCCTTAATGCTCAATGGTTTGCGGGTGACCTGGTGGACGTTAAAAGATTAAGTGGACTGTTTTTGTTTGTTTTTTGCTTTTTTTTTTATTTTAATCTAAACTCTTGAATTTTAGTCTGTCAGTGTCCACCAATTCTCTTCTAGCACTGACAGCTTCAGTGAGAAAAAGTAAAATATGTGCTTGCGCTTCTAAAGTCCAATTTTCTCTACCATCAATTTTTCTATCCAAATCTTAGTATTCAAAAATAAACTGATACAGTTCCAGGCTGTTTTTTTTTCTGGATTTGTTTTTTTGTTTTTGTTGGAAGAGCAACTGTAGATAATAAGCCCAGCGCTGGAACAGTAGGGGACTTTAAAGATGGAGTGCTGGACGTATTGCACACGCACACACGTGCAGAAAGAGCAAGAGAGAGGGAGCGAGGGAGGGAATGCATCCACACCCAGCTCACACATCCTACACACCCACCCACACACACATGCCCACACATACTTGAGCAACAGCACGAGCACATGCACACTACCAGTGAACCAGTGTCGCTCACTGTAGAACTGCAACTCTCGTGCTTGCACAAAATACACACACATACTTGTACAGTGGTCACCCCCTACTTTGAGGCTAAAGCAGGGTAATGATTCAGTTCCTCTTTGTGTGTGTGTGTGTGTGTGTGTGTGTGTGTGTGTGTGTGTGTGTGTGTGTGTATACATCTGTGTGTACTACATGGTGTATATGTGAACACATTTGCCACTTTGTGAATGTGTTTCGAGCGTGTGTGTGTCTGTGTGTGAATGTGGATGTGGTAAAGGCCCAGTCATCTTCAAGGCAGCTAAGACGAAAGCCACATCAACTGCCATATACCACACTCTAGGAATAGAATAGGCCAGCGCAGGCAGGAATGGAATGGCACGCCTGGCCTCGCCCCTCCTCGAACCACCTCACCCATCCCCAGGCCTCCTAGCGCTCACCCCCTCTTCCTCTAGTCCAAATCGCCCTTGTTGCTTGGGTTGCTTACATTTCCCCACTTCATCTTGCAGTTTTGTAGCGCTCCGCATCACTGCTCATTTCACTCCTCTCTAGAGGAAGAACTACAGACGCATGCTCGCTTTCCTGGATTTCCTGGCTAGTATTAAGCATCAGATTGTCCACCTGCTTTTATTTCAGTCCAGCTCCTCAAACGCCGTAGCATCTGAGTATGCACAAGACGTGTGTTTAAAAACCGAGAGCTGGTGTCGCTTTGATGAAAACCCCGATTAATCTGGCTTATCTGAGATGGTGTTTCACTTCCTCTGTTGTCTCTGTGTGCCTTCACCCTCTGTCCTCCTAAGCATGTCCATATCGCATCAACTCAATGTGTTGCTTTCGATTGAAAAATTGAAAAAGCTGATTGGCTTATGTACATTTGACCTCTCTGCCTAGCGGCAGTGGCAGCATCACCAAAGTGTGGAAAAAAAGGGAAGCGATAACACATAGACCTTATCACTTTGCCTCTTAGCCCAGTGAACTCACTGAGCCTCACCAGTCTGGACCTGTTGACACTACACTAGCACAGCTTTAACACACACCGGTCCTTATTTTATGCTAAACGACATCTTTTGTTATATTTGTTGTTGTTTTTTACATCTTAAAATTAGCATCTGAAGTCTTAAGTATCACTTTCCTTTTTTTTCCAGGTTTGCTGATTTTGCATGGATTGTCCCAGATAAATGACCGCGAGCCATTCCCACAAGAGGTAAGAAATTCATTCTTTAAAAAAAAAATCTGCATCAAACACTGTCTTCGCCACTGTCCCCTCCTCTCTCAGCTTCTTTGCCAGTATTGTCAAAAGAACAGAGCTCTAGGCCACTTCCCCTTCTCCCTACCTCAAATCCCTCAGTGCAGGGAGCCCAAACAGTATTAGCACTTTAAACCTTAGGCTCACAGGTAAGTTCAGTTGGGGAGCTGTCAGAGAAATTTCTCTTATACGGTAAGATAAGACAAACGATATGACATAGTTGGCATGGTGAAAAAAAATGAGGTGCTGAAACGAGGAAAAGTAAGATGGGGGAAATGTAAAGACGCATATGACAGAAAGAGCATTTACGGTGACAGAACGCTGGAATGCGAGGAAGGAGGAGGAAAGAGGGGCAGAGTAGAGAGAGGGGGAGAGAGAAGCCAGCACATTTCCCTTAATAAAAAGAAAGTGGAGTCAAGTGACCATCAGCTGGTCAGAGAATGTTTGATCAATATAGTCATGAGGCCTCAGTTATGCAGAGCGAAATGAAGGGAGAAAGATCGGCCCCGCTGTCTCCTTCCAGGTTACCCATCTCCTCCAATCACATGTATCTAGGTTGCAGTTTTATGAAGACTGAGTTAGCGCTCTCTTTATGCGTAGGGCTCAGCGTTGGGTCGGCACGGCGGTGGCTCTGTCTGTCATGCCTCAGGGCTAATGGGAAAGAATGACAGGAATCTGCAACTGATAATGCCATGCTTGGAGATGTTCGTCAGCAGATTATCTCCTATATCCTTCCCCTCCCTCGGGCTCCTCATTTTCTCCCGCTTGATCTCGTCTCTGCAGTTTGCCCCCTGTGCTCTTTCCTTTGCCTCTACATATTTGCATCTTGCACTCACACCTTCTCCTTCTTTCTTATTTTCCTTTTGTTGTTTTACATAATTGGTCTGTCCCTGAGATCTGTATGTGTTCATAATGGACCTATTTTCTGTTTCTCTTCACTCTTTCTTCAGATGGGGTCCAGAGTCTCCCCACCCAGACACGACTAAACCGGCCAGCCTTCGCAGTTCACGCCTCTCTAGCTGCTGTCAGTTGCTCAGTAGGCAGTGTAGATCCTGTGTAGCAATCAGCAGCTACATCTGGCTACTGGGTCTCTGACAGTTCTGCCTACTTCCCAGTCAAGCTTGCTCGTTCCTCTTCCTATTGGCTAAGTGACACATTCCAGTCCCCGCATTGGCTGCGATGTCAGGGGGGCTCCATCCTGTGACCCCACAGACAGGATGTTCTCTGTGTCACAACTCCACAAGGGCCCCTTGTCAAGGCTTTTTTGTGTTGGTTTTTTTTCTTCACTCCTTCCTCCTCTGTCATTCTTCTTTAAATTCTCACTCATTTCGCCTTCTCTCCTTGGCCTCTGCAAGATTCTCTTAATATGAAATGTCCTTGGTTGTAAATATGAAAGTTCTGTGAGAGAAATTTAAAGGAGCGTATTTTTCCAAAGGAAAAGCAGCAACGTGTATTTGAAAAGCCCTCGGAGAGACCTTTGCTTTCGTCCTGAACCTGGCATACAATGTAGATTTCTGTGTGGTTCAATTCTACAGCTACATTGTCTGCTGGGTTTCTGGCAAGCAATATAAGCAGCTCTTATATAATCCCACGGGCGCTCGAAAAGGTAAGCATTCATCTGTTCTGTCAATGTGGCTCAAATGCCTGACCCTGACAATTCAATAAAGAGAAAATATTTCACATTAATACTGCTGAGTGACTGTCGTTTGTCAAGCTGAAAATCACATTTGAAGAAAGAAAGAAATCTCCAAATCTACTAAATCTAAATTGATTCAGTGTTGCTTTTGTGTCCCAGGAGTTAACCCCAAGCAAGAGATGCCAGGAATATTCTAGTAACTCAGCACAAAGCTGGGCTGTTGTCTGTCAGGAGCTTGTCAGGCTGCTGTCAGACCAGCTCCTTATTAATGGGGCAGCACTGTCTCCCCTGCAGCCAACACACACACACACGCTACAAAAAAAGCACACACCCGCACACACACCTGGGATTATACCAAACCTTCACACAGTGCTTTCAGAAGACATCCCTACCTGTGAAAGTCTGCAAACCCCAAAAGCAACTTCTACATCCCAAAGTATGTTTTTACTTCACAAACGATTTTAATTTGGAAAAAACAAAACCAGAAGAAATGCAGTCAAACTGTAATTTGACAAATTCTGCTGGCAACTTCTTTCCACACACACTAACTAGACTGATACCTACATGAATAAAGCAGCAGGCAGCTCGCTTTGAAAACACATGTTACGGCACCGAGCCTTACAAGAAACCGAAAAAAAGGGATGGGAGGGGGGCACGATTGTACTTTTAATGTGTGTGTTCAGCAGGGATCGGCAGCAGCGTCTGTCCTGTTGCAGCCCTCCAGCAACGCTCCGGCAATACAGTTGAAAATATAATAAGTCTCCGCAGCTAAGAAAAGAAACCGAGGCAAAGCTCCCTCGCAACAGCGGGTCTTTTGAATAACAGTGTTATTTCTTTTATAATCAAATCAAAGACAAATATAGAGTGAAGGTTTTGTGCCTTACTTTTTCCACAGCTCCAAGGTTCAAGTAGAGCTGATATGAGTGAGGCTGAAATGATTCGCTTCATTAAGCAACCGAGGGAAAAAAGTTCAGTCATTTATCAATTTTGTTTGTTTTTTTGCTAATCGAATATGACTCTGGGCTTTGGTGAGGGATATTCTATACGAGCTGCACTGACAGTGACCATGAGCGCATGTGCCTTCTTCCTCTCCGTGTATGTCTGCGTGTTTTCTATCTTTATAAACTGAGTTTTCAGCTGTCATTCGAACAAATCGATAAATAATAAATTCTACAGACAAAATTATTTGTTGAGTTTTAAAAAAAAAAGGGGGTAGCTGAGTGATGCTGTTTCATTTATACCAAACTAACACATGAGCTGCAATACATAATACAGGATAAGAACCTCTCCAGCTGAGTCTGGCATATTTCACTAATCAAAACCCTGTCCCCGTGCAACAGGACACAAAGATTTATTTGCTGCTTGTAAATAACGCTCCCACCATTTATGATTTTACATGAAAGCAGCGCTCGCATCTTTTGGGGAAACAACAATGAGCAAATTCTGCGCTCAAAAGACTGTTTGAAAGGCATTCTACTGATCTGGCTGTACATGCTGTACAATAGATTTTTCAGTGTACACACAGGCGGGCATGTCAGCATTGTGTTAAAAGGGAAAACGTGAAGGAACTCTTTATGTAAAAGCCTTTCAGTGGTAATGGTATGAAGAAGTGAACTGGCGCCATTCATGTGTCAGCTTGAAAAGATTTGCATAAAGTCTGTGCAAGTAAACAAAGGAGTTGAGAAAATGGTGATTATATATTCGTGTGGAAAATTACATTTTTCAGACAGTGATTGTTATGAAATAGAAGCCGAGCTGACAGTTGATGAAACAAGCGTGCTAATGCAAAAGATATGACCTCATAAATGTGGCCTTATAGGACAAAAAAAACATAACACCTGGAACCCCTTCGGGTGTAATTATAATAGATTTGCATTTACATCCCCCACACTGAATCACTCGTCTCATTTCCATCATCAATACAGGTCTTGTCAGTCTCTCGCTACTCAAGCCCTCAAGTTCAACTTTACCAACTCTGTTTTTGTGACAGCGAGCTGAGCGACTCCATCGGGACCCACTATGAGAATCCCAACAATGCAAGTGGTTGCTAATGGCCTGTAATGGGAGGGGTGCGTGGGCGGTTTATTGTTGCTTTGATAAGCTGTCGATGACGTGCGTGGTGTGAGGACAGTCAGAATGCAAAACAACAGAATGCTGAGAAAAAATGACTGATGATGATGGCGATAAGGGGAGGGGGAAAAAATCTGTGGGAAAATGAAAGAGAGATGAGGCCATCTGTCGTCCTCCATCGCACATTTAAACACTTTCAAGGAGGACAGGGTAAAAGGTGAAGGTGCTGTTATCTGAAGGTGAGCTAAACGTACACTCCCTCTCTTGTTTGCGTCACTGCTGTAATAAGTCATCCGAGCCCTTCTCAATGACCTCTACAGCAGGGCTTTCCCCATCAGTAAGCCTCCAGAGGGAGATTTACATGACGTGGTTTACAGTGGTCACAAGATGTTTATGGTTTCGTAAGATACAGTTAACTGGCTTTTCTCTTGAACAACAGTCATTAAATTGATGCCGCTTTCATGTTCAGGCTTTTTAATAGTGATAACTATGACAGACCAGCGACCTGCCCAGAGTGAACCCCACCCCTCGCCCTGTGACACCTTTTGCAAGCCCCTTTCTTGCAAAACGAGGGATGGATAGACCCTACAGATAGTGTTCCATGATTTTTCTGTACCTTCCAAGACATAAAGAAATATTTTAATTCTTTACAAGTCCGCAGCAATGGTTCAATATGTTTAGATGCAAAATCATCTTTTTATTGTGGGTTCAATACCTGACAATATAAAACCTCTTGAGATTACTCAAGTTGTTGTGATTTGCTGCCATATAAATAAAACTGAATTGAATTGAACTGATATGAGCTGAAGTGAAAAAACACCAAAGTAAGAGAGTATGTGTATGCTTAGTGTTTTGAAGGGTACGCCCCTAATAGAGTGCTGTAGGCCAACTCACAAGATAGCATTGCCCTGAGATCCCTCAACAAAAACCTGATGTGATATTTCAAAAATGCTTTTTTCATTAAGTCTGCAAAAAAATAAGTCTACAGCATACATGTTAATCTTTAGAAACGGATGTATTTTTGAATTCTGAAGTTTAAATGCAACTGCCAAAGCTAAATTAATGTTGTGCCATAAACAAACAACACCATGGTCATAGTTTTTTAGCGTCACCACCACAAAACTTTGGACCATGGTTTTTAGCAAATGCCTTGTCTGAGACATGGAAAAACTTCAAAATTTAGAAGTGAAGTATTTATCGATGTTTTTATACGCTGTAGAAAAGAAAGCTAAAACTTGTGCTAATCACAGACCTTATTGCAGACATCTAATGAACACCCATTCAAAAAAAGAAACACTGAGACAAGTGAACTGGTGGTGCAAAATGCTACATCATTTCTGGGTTTTAGGACTCATTGCTGCAGCATTCTAGATAAAACAACAGTCAATAAGAAGAGTCTCGATTGGTTGGTTTGTACCAGGAAAGTGAGTCAGTTATGGACAGACGTTATCACTTTACAAATGTCCCTGCAGCCAATAGATAGTAATAACATATGTTATGAAGAACGGTCCAAGTTCATTTTAGGGTTTCAAAGGAGCTTCTTATTACAAAAACGTACTCCTTAATGGTTATTGTGTAACAGTTATGGGGTCTTCACTAACAAAAAGTTTATATCTAACGTGTGGTAACCCATCTTACCACCTGACCTTCACGTACTGTTGTTTTGTTGAATGGACACCATGTCACAGTGGCACACTTTGGTTCTTTGTTATGTACAATGAATGAAACACCTGTTGACATTGTGCATGTGAGTTTCACTTCAATTAAAAAAAAAAAACAGTGCCCTAAAGAGAGGCGAAGTGAAAATAAAACTTCTGGATTCTGTTCCAGAAGTGAGAAAACTTCATTCAAAATGCCACTGACAGGTTTAACAATGCAAATGGAACAGAGCCTTTCTGAGCACTACGTCACGAAACTCACTGTATGTGTTTGAAAAATGATCTTATATTGTTTAGTAACCAAGCATCATTTTCTATAAGCCACAGACATTCACAGAGTCGATTTTGAGGTTTGACAAAGAAGAGTCTGTAGTTAATTCAGACTAACTGGGAAAACAGGGGTCTGAACACTCTTACCAGAGATTATCCGGTTATGAGTCTAAAGAATATAAATGAATTCAAGCTGAAATGAACTAAGTTCTTAAAGGAGGTCTTGTTTTTTTCTTTTTTCTACTCACAAAGATATTGTTTTATTTAAGATGACAAAGGTTTCATTACCTTAGAGAGAAAGCCTTTTAGTGGATGTGAATATGTACAGTACATGATTTATTTATTTTTCCAGAAAGACTGATGACAGAAATTCAGAAACTCGTGGAATAGAGCTTACCCGGGAATTGGCAGCTAGTAGCTGG